TCCGTCCATCTCCGTCCCCCGCCCTCCGCCCTTCGTCCTCCATCCTCTATTCTCTACTCTTCTTGTTCCAGCCTCCGTCCTTCGCCCTTCATATTCCATGCTTCGCCCTTCGTCCTTCATCCTTCGGCCTTCATCTTCTATCATCCGTCCTCTGTCCTCCGTCCTCCCTCCTCCATCCTTTGTCCTCCATCCTCTGCCCTCCAACCTCCGTCCTGCCTCCTCTCCTCCATCCTCCATCCGTCCTTCGTATTCCAGACTTCATCCTTCGTATATTCTGTCCTCCGTCCTGTGCGCTCTGTCCTGTCCTCTTTCCTCCGTCCTCCGTCCTTCATTCTTCTTCTTCTTCCTCCTCCTCCTCGTCTTCTTCTTCTTCTTCGTCTTCTTCTTCTTCTTCTTCGTCTTCTTCATCTTCTTCTTCTTCTTCTTCTTCTTTTTTCGTTTTCCGTCCTCCATCCTTCGTCTTCCGGCCTCCACTACGTACTCGGTCCTTCGTCCTTCGTCCTTCGTCCTTCGTCCTTCGTCCTTCGTCCTTCGTCTTCAATGCTTCGTCCTTCGTCGCTCATCTTCCATCTTCTGTCAGCCGTCTTCCGTCGTCCTCTGTCCTCCGTCTTTCATCTTCGTCCGTCCTCTGAGAGCACATAATTGTGCAGCACCACAGCTTGAGCAATCGCGCATTCTCACTGAATAGCGAAGCGGTACAAGTGCTAGGACCATCTAGAAGCACGAAAAAAACATGCCAAAATAATCGACTTTTTTTGGAACCGCGAAAATGTAAAATCCCAAAATGTTCGACTGATTTTGAAAGCGCAAAAAACAAACGGAAATTAGTTTTCGCGAAAGATTGGCAAATACTAAGACTTACTGAGTATGTCTTCTGGAAATTTTCCAAGTTTATTTTTTGGGGGGGGATTTTCGAGCTGCCACATAACGCGCGCGTGCCGTGCCATACCTTCCAGTAAGATTAGCAGTAGTAATATCTATTATCTTCATTTATGATATTGGTGCATACCTTTTTCAACTGAATAAATCTGGGCAAATCAATGTACTTACCAGCTCTGGTTGGGTCATATTTATCCTTAGTGAATGCTTATTAAAAGAATGTTCTAAATGTTATTTTAAGATATTTTAAGGTTTGATTTTGTTGCTTCACGCTTTTTCAATCTGCAAAATGATTTGTTTTATACTGTCTTCACTTGCGTGCTTCAACTAATCCTCATTATGCATGTTAAATCTGGTAGAAGGCAATTTGCATAATATTTTGATTTCTGCAAATTCATCCCAATCACCACCGTCAAGGAAACCACTATATATATACATAATATCCCATCCATTATGAATAAAACATGACATATATATATACACAGTATAATGATAGTCTTATTCTTATAGGAACCGCCTTGTGCGGATTTGACTTATAATTTATAATTCATCTATGATTAAGGTTGGCAATCTTTAAACAATAAACTAATAATAATGTTTCTTCTTTCAATCATATTTTCATTTCAAACGTGAATTGGATGGAACACCCGGTATCAAATGAAAGGGCACATTGGTCCCACTTCTTCGGTCCGAGATGGTAGGCTTGTCAGTGGACCAGATCCACAGAAACCTTTCAAATGGAGAGAACTACAATCTTTGTTGTCTTTGTTGAGCACCAGGATGGAGCTCAAAGGAACTCATGGAAACAGGTTCCCGAGGATGTTGCCCCGTTCTCACGTCAATGCTTTTCATGTCGGTCATGCTTATGCACCAAGTGATTCGACTTGTCCAAATATTTTCTGTTGTTCTTGAGACGCTGGATATGAGTCGGGCGCTCTTGCGTTGGAGCTACTTGATCTTGCCTCACACAGCGGAATCAATTTTCTACCCCCAAAAAAAAGTTCTCCGTGATATTGGCCCCCTATGGATCGAACAGAAAGAAAAGTATGAAGAGCGGACTTGACGAATGCAAAGGCTAAAACAATCTAAAACAAACCAAGTTGCCCATTGCTTTGTGTCTGTTTGTCATCCTTTGTCCACTGCTTCACCAGTCCTTGCTCCGGAGTCTGTACCAAAGGCTTGGATCTTGCTGAAGGTTTGGAAGGGAGATCGATCAAATGCAGCAGGATGGCCCACCAAATGCCACAAGTGGCTCCGACAGCTGCACCAACGACGACGTAATCATAGTACCATCCCACTCCAGCTCCGAGAAGAAACCCAGACACAGCGTAGCTCGCCTTTGGCAACGCCATGGCAGTGACAATGGCTAGAATGGCTGCAGTGAGCTTTGTTCAATGAAAAGTGAGGTGAGCGTGGTGCCAAACTGGTGCTGGTGCCTAGCAAATTGCTGCTTCTATTTGGGCAATCTTGGAACCGAAAACTTGGCCGGAAAAGGAATAGATAGAAATAGCCTTTGTCTCGCCCAAGCAGCGGCCTTCCAAGATTGGAAGAAAGATCAAATGACCTGAATCTGGGAAAGAAACTCAGCAAACCATCAGAGAACTATTGCAAGCTGTTTCCCGGCAGGCATAATAGTACATGGTGTACAGAATATCATTCCTGAATATTCTGTCCAATCTCGCCAAAGTACCCTTACAGCTTGAAAGATACTTCTATTTCCTCTCAACGATGTTGGACATAAACAATTGTGCAAACTGTGTCGGGCCTGAACAGCTGTGCATCAGGCTTGCTTTTCTGCGCATATGGTTGCTAAGCTGCTAATGCTGTCTTGCCAAGACTTGTGGCAAGTAGAAATGCTCATACTAAGGCGCGACCTTTGTTCATCCTGTTCGGCAAAAAACAACAGTTTGCTGATGTGTCTATTCCTTGGTCGGTGATTAGTCACATGTAGTCAGGAACACCACCAATTTACAGTTTTTTTCATCACGAACTTCTGGTCTTGGCTGTTGCTGAACAGGCGCAAACTACACCCAGTATGGACTACCCGTAAAATAACTTTGCGGAGTAGACTCCTTTGGCAACTTCCTGTAACATGAATGGCAACAAACACTTGGTCAGAAAGGAAAAGCATTTGATTGCAGTATTACATATTCTCTTGGTGTTCTGACTGCAGGTCCAAAAAGGCCCAAAAAACTACCTTTATCCGAACTTTCTTCCAAAGTCAAGCCGATCTCCTCACTTTTGCGACCTTTGTCGCCTTTGTCGCCTTTGTCGCCTTTGCATCACTGCCTTTCACTTTACCGTCTTTCTTATCCTTCGCACGCCTGGTGCCGTGAGAAGCTGGATCTGTGCAAGAACGCCCTGAAGTTCACTGAGTTCCCACAAATTGTAGCGCGCTTTTTCGAAAAAAACATCAAATGCTCACAAGCCTCTTGTGGCTACGGCATCCCAACTAGTGTCCAAAAAGGTGTGTCATTGTTCCGCGGTCAGTGTTCCTAACCGGAAGGATCGGAAGGATCAAATGCCATCATGGGCTGTTTCAACTGCTAATTGGTTGATGCAACTGATTCCTCCTTCACTCACGGGCTCCTCGCCTTTGCTTGACGAGACTTTCAGCCTTTCAACCAGCAGCTGTCATGGCTTCACACAAGAACCAGGTGCGAAGACTCTTGGCAAAATCATTCTCATATATGAATATGTATATATATATTATATTATGTGATATTTCTATGTTTGACATTTTTTCGGTTTTTGGACGCATGATTTGCCAGCTTGGGCTACACTGCGCCATGTTGTGCTGAGTTTGTGGCAACTGCCCTGGCAGACTTCGCATATGTCCGGCCTTGGCAGGCTGACACAAAGGACCCGTGCCAGCCAAATCACAAACAAATACAGAACATCTAGATTGGGCCATGGGGTACACAAATCGGAATTTGGGTGTTTCATGTTTTTTTCCAACATGTAGCCAATGTGTTGACAAACAGTTGACATCTGCTGAATTGTAGTCATAATGGGATGGCCTTCTCCACCTCGGGTCAGCCGACCAGCCCTGGCGTACTCAAAAACTGCAACTTAGAGTTTCTGGATCTAGAGGTGCATGTGACTTGAGTTAGATGTCCTTCTGACTTCCCTACAACATTCCAAAAAATGCTGACTAGACTTCCTGCTAGATCCTGCTGATTTTGAAAAGAGATGCTTGCTGGCCTTTTGACAAAATGCTTGGAAGTCATGGGAATGTGGCGATAATGAATCTATCTCTCTCTCTTTATATATATATACTGTACACATTATATAATATAAGTGTATAATAATGTGTAATATCCGCCGACCCCAGCCGGATGCTGGGGGAGCGCGCCGGAGAAGACTGCGCCGGAGACAGAGACAGACAGACAGACAGACAGACAGACCGACCGACCGACCGACAGACCGACAGACCGACAGACCGACAGACCGACAGACCGACAGACCGACCGACCGACCGACCGACCGACCGACCGACAGACAGACAGACAGACAGACAGACAGACAGACTATATATATATATATATACAGAGTTTTACGGCAAACGTAGCGTCTTTGTTGTGAGACGGACAACTGCCTAAGCTTTTCTTATGCAGGCATTGTGTAAACTTGACAGCGATCAAAGACTCAGTTTGTAGCTTACTTCGTCGAAACAGAAAAAAACATGTTTCTGGTACCAGAGCCAAAACTTCTGCCATGTCAGCTCTGAAATAACGAGGCCATAGTCAGATCTGATGACCGACTGCCGGCCTCTCCAACTGCTCTTCCACGCTGCCGTCCTTGGGACTAAACCCAAACCTTAGAGCTCGATGCCAACGGGGCAAGAAGAAAATAAGGTCAACAAGAAAATACAAGAAACAGGATCTTGTTGCATAAATATGCATAAAGAATCATAAAGATCATGACAAAATAGTGAGAACCTTTCTGCATCAACTCATATAACGTGGTTGCATGCAAAGTTGAAGTCGACCAAATGATACACTCCTGGGGTCGTACACACCTTTCGGTTGCATAGCTTTCCTTGGTTTTCCTTGTTGCATTTTGTTGCAGTTTGCCGTTCCCATTTACATCGCCAGAAAGCACCCGAGATGCCGGGCTGTTCTCGATCCAACTCTTCAAATGCAAGTCGTTCCTCTTCACTTCGCGCCAGGAGGCGATTCACCTAGTGCTTTGAAGCCAGTGGCAGCGATTCTGTTTAGGCACGTGCACATGCACGTGCCTAAACAACGCTAAATACACAGGAACACTGCTAGCTCTGAGTACGTTTGTCTGGATATGAGATGTGCACTGATGCAGATATTGTGTCTATGCTGTTGTTGATGCAGAGTTCTAGACAGTGAATAGATATGAATAAATATGATAAACAGCTCGGTAGTCATGCGACGATAGATAGGCACCAGGGGAGAAATAGAATTCCAGGAGAGCCTCAAAACACGTCTTTTTTAATATATATATATATTTACTTCCCCAATGTTTATCAAGTCTGAAATCATGTCAGTGACTTCAGTATCCTGAATGCCTCGTTAAAGTTGGTCGCCCGGAGTCCGCTCGGTGTGGAGTTGCGGGCCTGGGAAGTCCGCCCCTTCAACACCAAATCAGCGGAAATCAGCGGAAATCAGCAGACCTCTGGAAATTATGCAGGCCTTGGGTCTGATGTGAAATGACCGACTTAGTCTCTGCAATGCATAGTGAGTTAAAGTATGCTAAATTGTTGTCGCGCAATTGCAGCTGACTTTCTAAAAAGCTTTGCGGCCCCCTGTATACCAAGTTGAGAAAATAGTGCAACATATTGCAACCAGCACAACCCACGCGAGTCATAGGTTCTTTGTGGCCGAAAACCCGAGAGCCCTTGGGCACCTCTCGCAACAAATCTTTCAGCAGATTCTGTGGCCCTGCATCCTCACAGGAAGCAACGCTACTGCATTTGCCCTTCATTCCCCCATATTCCCATGCTACTGTACATTACCATACATTACCCATCACACCTGATATTCTTTGAGAACCTTCACTAGCCAAAGTCAATTGCAAGCCTAGAAGACAGAAGGTTGTACGTCCATGTACGAGCACGTCCTATTTTGCGAGCTTCAACACCCTCTGCTTTACAGTCTCAGCATGTCCCAGCATGTCTCAGCATTCTGCAGCTCTGAAATGATAAATCAAGGAGCTCCAGCAATGGAATTCTGCACAGGAGGTGTCCCCGGTGTCCCTCGAACAGAAGCAGTTCCGTGCCCAACAGATCCCAACAGCCTGCGAAAAGTTGCCAGCCCTGATCACCTGACGGGGCTTTGATTGAATTCAGCATATTTCAACTATATATTGTCCAACATTTTTCAACCTGATCAACCTGTAAATGTGTATAATAGTATATCGTTGTCGATGTTTATCAGATGAACATCACACATTCTGCAATGTTCCTACAATTCACAGAGAAACAATTCACATCTAGCATGAATTCTCTCTCAGAAACTGCCCTTTCACGATCCACCTTGCGCTCCATCTCCAGTTTGCGCCCATTTCGTTCCAGCAAACCACGATCCAGTGCCTCAGAAAAACAAACATAAACAAGCCTATGTCCAAACATGTCCAAACACATCTACTGCAAAGTGTCTGCACTCCATGCACTCGCTTTATACGGCTGTTGCTTTTAGCCCGACACAGTGGGAGTCATAAGGCGGATCACCTTCACGGGCCTGCAAAACATTGAGACATCGTGACATCGTCCCATTCTGTCATTCTGAGTCATTCTGATCTGTAGAAATCTATAGAATCTATTTGCTCTCACCTCTCAGACCCATCTGCACTTTGCTTTCGCACTTTCAGGGATCAACTGAAACCACTCTTCCCCTCCGAACAACAACCTGCAACAGCTTGCGCTTCTTTCGCACTTTTCAGCGACTCAACATTACTTTCCCAACTGCAAACTGAATCGCTTTGGCATCTTTGGCATCTTTGGCATCTTTGCCTTCCATGTCTTTCCCATGTGCTCTTCGTGGGAGCCCTGCAGGGAAGGATTCTTCGCCTCCCTTTGGGGAGAGCAGCTGATGCTTTCAGCCGCTTTTCGGTGAAAGAAGTTTGCTAAACCTCCGAGTCGACGGTTCAACGCCACGCCAGATGGTCTGTCATGCGATGCCAACACTTATCGTGGATTGCTTGTTCTGTCTTATTCTTGCTCAGCTTAGCTCCTGCCTAGATTGGCCAGCACCCTTCACTTGTCAGTGGTCAACACAACATCACGACAGCCAACATCTGGAACAATTTTAGAAGGCCATCGTTTGGGCCTGCGGATCAGCCAATTTCTAGACTGTTCCCTGAAATTGAAAATCCAACAACCGGATCGACACTTGATAGTAATCATCTTGATTTGCCGTGATTTGACAATCTAGAACTTCTGAAAGAAACTTGGACAACTTGCCTGAGGAAAATGCTTGTGAGGAAGCAGACGAGTGTGTACATAATGCAATTGGAATGACGCAGAAGCAAACCTCTCTACATCTCTTTGTAAAAGACTTGAGAAGTTCACTCCAGGGTATCTTGTGGTTTGATATCAAAGAAACATTAAGAAACTGAATCGACGGCAATGGATGCTGACTCTCAAGAGTTGATCCAATCCTACTGAGTCCTACTGAGTCCTACTGAGTCCTACTGAGTCCTACTGTACTACACATCACACGCATGGGACTTTGCATGCTTCTACTGCTTCAACGCTTCAGTTTCACATTGCCGGGCCCTCACCTTTCTCGGTGCTTTGCCTGGTGGACTCGAAGTCCACATGTCTCACCAGCACCAACACACTAGCAGCATCTTTTCCTGCAGAAAACATCTTATAGTAGCTCATACTAATCATGGTACTCTCTTGTGTGACGAAGATCTTGCACCAATTGATCAAAATCAAAAAAATGGCATGCAACAGGCACATGCCATGCTGCATGATTTAGATTCAGTGATTATCTCGATTCAGGGATTGTTTCAGAGTTCTACAAGTATATGTCCTCCATGTTTCTATGTTGTTCTGTGTAGCTCCAGCTACCAATTTCGATGCCTTTTTTGGAGCCTGTGTTGAATGAATGTAAATATATATATATATAGATATATATATATAATATTTATTTATTTACCTATTTATTTATAATATTTTATAATCATTTATTTTCAGAAATGCTCAACAACATGGTACTGTATGGTACTGTATCTGCGCAGTATCATACCATTTCATACCGATTCAACCACTTCACTTCACCGCCTTGGGACTCCTTTGGGCTCGCTCCGCCGCGCCAGCTGCGAGGCCGACATCGCACGGGTCACCGTGCGCACGGTGCCATCGCTGCGGCGCAGGCCGATGTTGACGTAGCCTTGGCGCAAACGGTACTACCGGAAGGTGCTGAAAAGTTCTGAAAAGTTCTGAAAGATGCGGAAAAATACTTGATGATCTTGAGGCATCTTGATGTTTGAATATGTTCGATGTATATCGCGAACAATTTCTGCCAGTGATTGTCTCGGTCATGTGGGACCTTTCCAAAAGTCTTGACTTGAAACCGTGTCCTACTGTGAAAATTAGCTTGAGGTTTGGCCATGCGGCTGGGCTTGCACTACTTATTGATCTTAAAGTGTGGCACCAGCTCTATACAAAAAAAGACAATGATCCAACTAAATTTAGCTGAGTTCATCATCACAATGTGACACAGTGACATCATACACCAGGCTTTTCAGAAGTGTATGACGCTGCCGCAACCCCACTGCCAGGCGACTCGATTTCAGCTTGTAGAACTTGGCAACAGCACTGCCTTGGGGCAAAAGACATGGTGAAGTTTGCGTTGGTTTGATTTGGGGACCATAGTCATCTTGAAGCTGGGACTGTAACAGAAACTGGTCAAATGTAGCGACAGCGACAGAAAGCAAGACTTGTTGGTCTTGCAGAGACGGTCCCACACCATCCACACCTTCCTTCATGATGTTTGAACATGTTTGAAGGGAACAAAAATGGATTTGTTGCCCCAAGTGAAAGCCACAAGCTCGTCATGATACAGCATGACCATGGCCGAACTTCAAAGGTACCCGAAGTATTCCGAAAGGCAATGCTCACAGATGCTTAATAATGCTTAATATGCTAAATACATGCCAATTAGGCTATTAAGTAGAGTAGAATATATATATATATATATAGTATATTAGACTATGATTAGACAAGATGTCACAATTTTCCGAACAAAAATTCGAATGCGCCTGGCCCTCCTGGCCCCTGTGTGGGCTGAGGAGCTTGGACGGGTTGGTTGCGGCCGGCGTTCCGGAGAAGGAGAGCCAGCTGGCAGAATGATCAGAGTATCGATGAGTCGATGAGCATTTCGTGGTTCAACCGAAACCGATCGAAACCGTGAAAATCGATTGGCAGATACAAAGGCAGATAGCAAAAGTCAGCAAAACTATGCACCCGTGAAGAGCGTGAAGACATTGGTTCATCTTGGTTGAGCTTGCTGCAAGTGTGGAATATGCTGTCTGATGCAGATGCTTTCAGAAGGTTGAGGAGTTCATGAGCATGGCACCAATGGCACCTGTAGTTGGAGACGTTGGAGATGACGCGCGTAGTTCAGCACCCGTTGCAGCTTTTTGCTTCATGCCTCTGCGAATAGGATGTACCAAGATGTACCAAGATGATCCATCAAATATCCATCATGTACCACATTGATCCACATTGTACCACTGTCAAAGCTTGCTACATCTTGCTACAACCAGTACAATGTCAGTACAATGTCAGTACAATGTCAGTACAATGTCAGTACAATCTACCTCTGACATCCTCTGACTCACAGCAATGTGCTCTTAGGATGCATCAGGCACCAGGGAAATATTCGAGGCATGATTGCAGTACTGTAAATCGTTCTGTCATTGGCAAGACTCACTGCTCAAGTCAGCCAGGTGACCTTCTTGCAACAATCGCCTAAGGTTCTGGTTCGAAGTGATTTGGTATGGTTTAGTGTCATCAACAAAGCATGCTGAAAGTTTCTTTAACATGCTGTGGACAACTTCGTGCGCTCTGCCGAATCCATGTCCACATGATTTGCATCTCCAAACTTGCCAAGCTCTGAGGGGTGAAAGCCATAAAACATCATAAGACCCACTGAACGCGTTTTGAAGTCAAGTTGCAAAGCTGTGCTTTCGGGACCTGGAGCGGTTCTTTGTTTCTGTCACTGTTTTTGGATGAAGAATCCGATCAGAAATCCTATCAACTAATCAGTAATAATCACAAGAAGACAATACAAGACGAGAACGGTGTCATCCAAACTTGCACACTGACCCCAGTGCCTCGCCGCTCAGCATTCACATCACAGTGCAGCAATTCTGCCTGAGTGGATGCAGAATGTCACGCGGTGCTTTTCGGTATTTTGACCACCCTTCCCTACAACAATCAAAGCGCTGCTTTTGTTACTCTTGTTGCATTTCGAATAGCCATAATAGTGCTACGATAGTGTTGTGATACCCCAAACTGACGGCTTCAAGGCACTGATTCACTGATTACAAATGAGGAACCAAGACTTTGCGCTTCGTTTCTTGAAGAGGCGCAGCTTCCTCGCCAAGTCAGTGGGACGACCCGAGTTTGGACTGTCTTCCACTGTGGATTGACGTCGTTTGCCGAGTTTGCTGCAATGACCCCCTGAGAACATGCATCAAATTGCCCTGATGGGATCCAAATTTGGCCCTGATTTGGAACTGACATTGCGGATCATGAGAGAACCTCAGAGAACTGTTCTAGAAGTCTTAGGAGTTGTTTAGATTGGAAGAACAGAGTGTGTGTGTGAGTGTGTGTGCGTGTGCGTGTGGGCGTTCTTGCTAGTTGCTAGTCTGTGATTGGCTTGAAGCCTTGATCCTTCCCCAATTCCAATCCGATCTGTAGACCTCCATACTTAGCATCAGGTAGGATCAGTCAGGATCAGTCATGATCAACATGTAACAGTACCACACAATGCCATACACTTGCACCGGCTAAAAAAATGAAACCTTCCGAGTTTGCACGAGAGGATGGTAAGTTCCCATCACTTCTGATCCTGGCCCATTGATTCCGATGATTCTGATGATTCTGGTCCTTCACTTCCTTCTGCGGCTGCAAGAAAGTTCGACCATCGATGCAGCGAGTTAGGCGCCACATGGCCGCCGCCATCAAGTGATCCTGCCATTTGGCAGCACGTCCCAGCAGCACGAGGTCCAGCTCAAAGCCAGTGAAATGATTCAATGCCATTAAACATCATTAAACATCATTAAACATCATTAAACATCATTAAACATCATTAAACATCATTAAACATCATTAAACATCATTAAACATCATTAAACATCATTAAACATCATTAAACATCATTAAACATCATTAAACCCTTTCATACCCTTTCCATAGTAGTTGCACCGATTTCTCAAACCATGCGGAGTCCTGGACAGCGCAAATCACTCTGTAAGGCAAGCGCATGAAATCGCTTTTCGAGACGCAAAAAACCTGCGCAAGGCAAGAGCTGAGGAAGGTCAACTGATGTCGGCTTGTCACAGGTCGGCCTATGAAGTAGTGTCATTCCAGTACTGCAATCAGAGCCATGCAACACAATGCAACAAGACATAACAAGACTATATATGTTGTATGTGAAGTAGGTGGATAGGTAGGTGCGAGGTGCGTAGAAGAATATGGATGTATGCAGACATGTTATACCAATGGTAACAAATTCTTGACAAACGTGCGCATGGACGGCATATATCCTAATTTTATCTAATGCTGTTGAAGCGCAAATGTCAAGAGTAGACTTGGCAAGAGTCAAGAGAGCTGAACTTAAAGAACTCTGAGACTTTACCTTCTCTCGAAAACAGAAATTCCCTTCGATCCTGAACAAACAACTGGCAGGTGATTGAGTGGGATGTGTTTTCAATCTCTACATGCAGTGCAGTATTCATAGTATTCTAAAACCTGCATTGATACAACCAGGTTGGAGACTCTTCCATTTTGTTCCATGTTCCATCCAGGCGTCGGTGACATCATGCCTCATGATTCCTCTTACCTTGTCATCGACATCCATCGACTCTGGCCTCGCATAGGCTCTGCGCGATCACTGTGAAGGGCTCTGGATCATTTGTCGGCACAGTGCTGAAAAGGCCGCCCTCAACCAGCAGTGCAATGCGTCGGCCTGCGCACTTGACGCCACTTACACATCGGATGATATGTAATGTATCAATGGTGCAATATATTGCAATACATATATATATATATGTATGTTTATATAGTGTGTATATATCAACCATTATCAATTACTCGATTTTAAGAGAAACCGTCGATGGAACGATCATTTAATTCAAGCCAATGAACATATATCTATTTCATTCTACTTCCGTATCACTTTGAGAAAGTTAGCTAAGGATGCGAAGGGATGTCTGACTCCTGAACCAAAACAAGTGACAGAGTTTGCACTGCAAATCCTTCTCAGCCGAAGCAGCAAACATGGTTATACAGTTACATAAGTCTAATATAAGTGTTGCAAAACTCAGATGTTGTGAAATTCAAATCTTGAACCTATCTTCAGAATCTTCTCTCTTCCATGCCTCGAGTGCTCTGCCGCCCTCTCCGCTTTGCTGCGGATGAAGAGGGCCTCCACAGTGTTTGGCATGGCTCTTTCTTGACAAACAGGTCAAAAATACAATGGCAGGTACAAAGGTCGCAAGGGTGGAAAAGATTGGAAAAGCACATGCCTCCAGATTGCCTTTGGAACTACGTTGGTGGATGGCACCTATCTCAAAGCTTTACACATGTACAGTAAGTAAATGCGTGGCATCTACACAACTTCTACACAACTTCTGTACATCATCGACCTTCATGGAAAAATTGGTACAGCTTCTTGGCACTGACGTTGAGAAATTGCAACCCCATTCCCGCTGGGCTGCTTTATACAAGTAGGATACGAATTCGAGGATTTCGAAGCGGTTGTCATTTTTTGGGGAAGCAGGTCTCGTCGCTGTAGCTATCCCTAAGATCTATGAAGTTGGAGTGGCATCCCGGCCTGCTCACTCCAGAGTCGTCTGGTACAACCTGGCCCAAACAGAGCAAATAGTGAGCGTGAAGAAACCCAGGGCAAAAGGGAAAACATACTAGAATTCGCGAGATCATTTTAGACGTGCGATTTCTTCGTTGTGTAAGAGTGTAAGAATCAACCTGTTGAAGGTTTCAATGCTTTGAGAGCCGTTGGAGCGGCTCTCAAAGAGTCAAACAGAATTCAACCTCCAGACGACACTTCTTCAGTATTGACATCTTGCCATATCTTGCCTGCCCAGGATCCACGTGCCAGAACTCCACGACGCCTTTTCGAAGTACCCAAAAGCGCTCCTGAGCCGTTCTTGCTGCACTTGCTTCATCTTGCTTCATTTAATTTTGCTTTCAAGTTGCCAAAGTGCTCAACAGAGAATCCCATTTGTCATTACACTAAACAAATGCCGCCAACATCCACCAACATGGATGAAGTATGATGAAATCAGATTGCTTCTGAATGCTGCGAATATGCAGTTGTGGTTTTACGTCATCACCTATGATGCAGACTGTGTGCAATGAAATGAGAGGCGAGCAAACAGCCATGCGTATTGCTACAATGCTGATGCACTGCTATTTCTTTGGTTTTGGGTTCGGTTGCTCCGTCATCTCCGTCATCTCCGTCAAGTAACACCATGCGACACCGGATGGACTTTTGTCATCTTTTGTCGACTTACAAGTTCTGCTCCAAGGCTCGCTGGTCTTCTCCCCTTGCTTAATGAAGACAAAGCCCTTCGGCACAGACTGCTGCTTGAAGTAATAAGATGCATGGGGCTTCCCGAAGCGGGATTGCCTGGCACGGCTACATTTGTCTACAACCCATGGCATGTAACGTGCAAAAAAATGTGTTTTTACCCATGTGTCATCATCGTGTGCACACATCTGAGATGTGCCGTGAACGAAGTGAACTGCAAACCGTTCACTAATCTGCTCCTCATTTTTTCTCTGATACATTAAACTTGACAGGGGCAGACTCAGTGTAGACAGTCTTATGCACATATTTTAAAGCACTTCATCGCTGCTTCCTTCCTTCAACAACCAATTTCTTGCCAACAGGCTGGTTCAGAGACTTGCTAATTGTCTTCTAACTGTAGTGTTGTTTGACATGCTTTGAACACTACACCACCCAGTCAGCCGCTCAATCCCCTGCCAAAGAACTCAGGAAGGTCAGACATCCCTGGAACATGCCGCCGAAGGAAACCTGTCGAAGACTACCCGTCCACGCATTGCTCTACACACAGCATTGAGCATTCACAGATCTTAATTTCACCGCAGCCTGTCGTCTCGTCCTTCTGCTTTCCCAAGTCAGACTTCAACAGGCTGTCAAAGTCCTCATATTTCAACAGACGCAAGGAAGTAGCTCGAAAACAATTGAGGAATGACTGACATACCGGTAGACAAGTCCACAGTCGAATCTTTGGCCAACTCAAATGTCTCGTCACATGACATTGCATGATATCTAATCACATACATAAATCATAAATATATAACTCATCAACAGAATTCCATGGATATGTTCATGGCACAGCAGGGCTGTCTAGAACTTCACAGCCAGATCATGCCAAATCCCTCTTTCCTGGCGAGAAATCACAAGAAGTTGTGAATCTTCCAGACCTCAGCTTCTGCAGGTCCTTGAATTTGTGAATTATTAAAGGAAGTTGCAAATTCATGCAAATTCAATCTCCATCCAGTCCTTCCTCTAGCAGTGAGCTATCACGCCTAGCACTTCTCTAGGATCCCTGCTTCTAGCATAATCATATGGCTAGGAAGATGCATCGCAGCACTGCCGTCTCTATGAAAACGACTTAAAGCACCAGTGCAATCAGTGCAAGTGAGGCACATCTGGCACTGGCAGCTCTTGGTTGGTCTCCCAGCAATGCCAACTCCCCAAAGAGCTGCCCACGACTGAGTCGCACAACCTGCACCGCTTGCTTTGCAAACGCAACGGAGGCAACATCCCATTCCCGCAGGTCCCACATGGTCCCACACCATGCCTGAGCACCCAAGTGAGACTTGGGATGGTACCAGCTGAAACCTGCACAAAGCACAAGCACGAGTCAACTCCGAGAACCTGCCCAAGAAGATCAAGAAGGAAGCAGACATAAGCAGATTTGAATAAAAGCGATTGACCGGTTATGAAAGTGTGGCTCGTTCACCTAGGCTATCTTTTTCCGGGGGGCACATTCGAGATGTCATGCCTTCGTTCTGCCCCGAGCTTGAGGTGAATTGAGGTGAATTGAGGTGAATGACATCACTGAGGCATGAACCTTCGTGTGTCCTGGATCGCATAATTGGCTCTCCTTAGAACGCGGTGCACTGGCATACGTGAATATATGTGGCGCACGGTGTATACTTGTTTTTCTGCGGCCGCGAATTGAATTCCATGCATCGTTGCACCACATTTGCTTTCTGATCTGGCTGTGCTCACTTTGAATCCCAGAGACCCTCTGACTGGTCATGCGGCAGCCGCCTCAGAATGAGGTCGAACAACCCAAACAGTTTGAGTCCATCAACAGATTCAATGCTTCCTAAAGGCCTTTGGTACATCTTGGATCATCTTGGCACCTACACAGCCTACACACTGGAGAAATCACATTGAATTGTATAGCATAGAAAGTGTAAGAATGTACATGAACGTACTCTCTTTGCCGCCTGCTCTCATTGCTGCTCTTGTTGGACAGCTGCGCTGTGGATTCTTGGTCCTTGCCGAGTCTCTAGACTCTGCGCTGTGGGATGATTCAGCAGAGAAGTCGAAGCTTTTCAGCTTTCGAAGGAGAGAAAGGATCGATTCCCACGAGCAATTTGCAAGTGCTGCATAGTGCTACTTAGTGCTACTATGAAGTACTATGTCAATGTAGCCTTGTCGGAGAGTCGGAGCATAGTCTATACGGTATAGATCGGTATAGTCTATGCGGATCCAGCCACAATGTTTCAACTCCACCGCAAGCAACGACACACACAACGCTTTCCTCTGGAATGTTGATGACCAAACCGCTTCGGCTTCGGCCCAGCGAACTTTTTGACCCACTTCGCCCCTGACACGCAGCAAATCGGCATGGCCAGTGTTAATCATGATTGGCTCTGCTGGCTTTCTACTGGCTTTCTGCTGGGGCTGAATCGACTGGAAGTGCCCCAACTGTTCAGAACTACGCAAGCTTCAGTGAAACTGGCTACACTGCCCCTGTTACACTCCTGCCATCGCCCAGTCCACCTCTCGGTTCAGTTTTTTGGAGTCTTGTCGCTCACTGAAGCGACTTTCGGTGGAGGAGCGACGCAAACTCTGTTGGGACGACCGGCGGCTGCCGTGGAGGTCCTCCTGGGGCCAACAGTGCTTTCAGAGTGGTTGCGTCTGCGGATGTCTCTGGACCAAAAATTGAAATATTAGTTTAGATTTGTTTAGTTTATTGTTATGCGAAGTATTTTCAAATACTAATCGTATCTAATTGTACCGATTGAAGCAATGGAAACACCTTCGATCTCTTCAATCGAAGTGCTACATGGTATCGGAGGTTCTTTGCTTTCCCTGCTGAGGATAGGAGCAGGTCCAATGAACCAAATTGCAACAGGTTTCGAGAAGGCACCGCCAACAAACATTGAACATTTGCCTAAATTTGCTGGAACTACCGGACTCACTAAATTATGTTCTGCGTCGCATCTTCTATCATGTTCTAGCAGGTGGTGATGAGTTGGTGTAAAACAAACTGCACTCAAAAAAAAAATCCTCGCGCAAACTCTTCTTGGAATCTTGCCGCTCTTCTTGCTCACTGAAACGGCTTTCAGTAGAGCAGCGGCGCAAACTCTGGGACGACCGGCGGCTTGGTGGCCCGTCCGTTCCCTGTTCCTCGCGAAGCTCCCAACGGAGCTGGTGAAGTCAGGAAACTGTCGCCAAGTTAAAGTAATGGTAAAATTTGTGAGAAACTTAAAGATCGACCAAATATGACCAAATGGTTTTCAGTTTCACATTCCAAAGTGGATAGAGTTGCGTTTCAATCACATTGAAAATGAGTTGCATCTCTTTGGATGTGTAAAAATACTTGACATTTCCACTTATCATCACTCTTCCGAATCATTCCAAGTCATTTTGAGTCTGTGTATGTGGCGTTCCAATAGTGCAACCTGGTGCAGCCATCAGCCTCTTGGATGGAATCGTACAAGTCCACGCTGCCCTTGGAATCGCACCACTCAATCGAGGTACGGCGGCTAGTTGCATCATCCTGGAAACTGACCACACATATCACACGTCCATTTTTTTTACTGGTCATGGCACGTGTTCTGTGTTTTCCATGATAGCATCATTTATATATATATATATATAGCTGCCGTATTACGATAGGTTCTGTGTAAGTATACTACAAATACATATATATATGTATGTGAAACCGTTGGCGATGTTCCTTCGATTGTGCCAGTTGGGGAGTGAAGCAGCCATATGATTGCTGTCTTCGTGACATCAAATTTGGCTCAAGGCCAACCGCATGTGACTTCAGGGGAAAGTGCAGCCATATGGCGTGGCAGGATTCGTCGGTGTTTCTCAGTTGGAGAGGCTTCAACTGTTAGATACTTTGGTGTGATCATTGGAAGTATTGGTTGACAATCAGGTGAAACAATCATCCTTGAGGCAAGGATATCTCAGGTGGCTACCAGTTAGCTGACCTTCCAAGGCAGTCACACTGGTAGCGGAGCCGAAAGGCTTACGCATACCAGCGTGCAAAGCCGGTATCTTGGACTGACAGGTGCTGTGACGTTGGTGATGTCAAGTTCATCCGCTGGCGACGACAAGTCCAATGGACTATGGAATCAATTGCCCAGTTTTGATCCTAGCACTGATGATGTGAGAAAGTTTATTCAGAAAGCTCGTTTTCTACATGGGGTCTTTCCGAAGGAAGACAAACCAAACTTGGCCCCTCGTCTAGCCGCTAGACAAGGGGCCAAGTTTGGTTTGTCTAGCCATGTTGTGCAAAGGGACTGCATGGAGTCAAGTCCGCATGTTAGATCCTGAGAAACTCATTGATGCCGAGCATGGTGTGGAACATCTCATCCAGGCCCTGTCGTCTTGGGAGGAGACATCCGAGCTCAAGACCTATGAACTGCTTGACAAAGCCATGTATCGTGCGTCGCAAAAGTCTGATGAGGCTACACTCTGAGGCGTCAAGCGGCATTCAATGACCTTGGTCTTAAGGTCACAGTTCAGGAAATGCAAGCATTCATGCTGTTGAAGCAGTCGTGCTTGTCCGATGAGGACAAAAAGAGGATTCTTTCCATGATGGATGGTTTCTTTCAGTGACCAAGATTGAGAAAGCGATGAGAACTCTGTCAACAAAAGGGCTGTTTGGAACGGGTGATGTTCGCAAGAAGGTGTACGCAGCCAACTATGTGGAATCCAGTGACGTTCAAGGTCCTCCAGAGGATGATGCCACTCCACATAGTACCGGACCTATCAGGTATCGCATGAAGAAGACGATGTGCTGACAGCAGAGGCCCTTGGCTCACTTGTCCAGGCAGGCGATGAAGACGCCCTCGTTGTGCAGCAGTTTGAGAGTGAATTTGAAGAGATGATGTAAAGCATTCCGGACTTACAAAGCGTACTGGCGTCATGGCGTCATACCAGGAGGCGCGCCCAAGGATCAATGACAGGCGAAGGTCAAGAGGTTTCTGGCTGTCAAAGTCTCGTGGCAAAGGTTTCTCCTGTGGTGGTTGCAAAGGAGGCGGCAAGGGAGCCAAAGAAGAACTTTTGGCTCGCATCAGCCGCTTACAGTGCGTGCGGGACGTACGCTCCTCGATGATCACTTGGGGCTGGTCATGAGGGCTAAGCTCCTCCACATGCACCACGTTCGCTTGTTCACGGGCTGCATCTCGCTTGTTCGGGCACTCTGCTTTCCAGTGCCCCAAGGACTTCGAGGCCAGGTGGATGTCAAAGGTGTGTTTTTCAGCGTTCTCCGAACATCCGTCCAGCACCCGAGACGCCGTCCAGCATCAAGCCATAAAGTTTTGGTCCAGTCGTATCGATAAATATGCAAAGAGGTAAGGGGATAAAGCCCAGCAGTCTCCGAACCAGATCAAGCCCCACTCCACAGTGGTGTCCCATGATCCTCCCAGGCCGTTGACATTGGCCAAGGAGCCGATTGTTTCCAGCATCAGTGAAGTTGCAGAATGCAACACAACCCAAATGGCCGCCAAAACTGTGACAACCACTGGCATGGCGATCGTAGACACCGGAGCCAGCCGTAGCGTGACTGGAAGTGATCATGTGCCCGCAGTCCTGCGAAAATTGCCTGCTAGCATCCGACAGATGGTCCGTGAACAACACAGCAATACCGGTTTTCGCTTTGGTAATAATCCAGTGCTGTATAGTTTCAAGCACTTGCAAATCCCTTTGATTCATGGTCGTCAGCGAATTTGGTTCTTAGTGGAAGTTGTCCCAAGAGCTACTCCATTTCTCCTGTCCATCAAGGCCATGAAACGCCTTGGCGCAAACATTGACCTTTCAAACAACACATGCTATCTCAAGAATCTTTAACGTTCACTCCCACTCAAGGAGAGCAACAGTGGTTTGTTTGTGATTGATATCTCCGATTTGTGTCGTTTGCCAGCTGAGCCACATGAAGCAGCTTTTGCCGCGCCAAGATCCCAGATTTCAGTGCCGCCCGGTCTTCATTTAGACGTTCAAGGGAATCATGCCGAATCGACAGGAAGTTCTGGATGCGCTGAGGATTCTCTCCGAAGAGGTTCTCGAGAGTCTTCGCGTTCTGTTTTACATGCTGTTCACGATGACGCGTGCAGTGATTCATGGCCGAAGAGTGGAAGAACATGTTGCAAGAAAATGGCATAAGACCCATTTTGTCAGCTGCTCCATGGCAACGAGGCCGCATCGAAAGACATGGAGGTATGTCAAAGAAATGCTCAGCCGGATTGACAATAAAAAGCCCGTCGAAGGTCTGAACCAATTTGACGAAGCATTGCGACAGCGTTTCCATGCCAGAGACACAATGTCGGTAGTTGATGGCTATAGTCCCCAACAAGCGGCTTTAGGTAAAGCCACTAAATTGCCTGCATCCATCATAGTTGATGATGAAGACCTAAGTGCTCACCTTGCCAGCCATGGAACAGACCTGGCGTCGGACCGTTTCCGACGTAGACTGGAGCTGAGAACCGCAGCCCGTGCTGCTTTCGCGACGCTCTCCGAAGAGCCCTGTCGCGGCAGTCCCGAGGGATCAGCCAGACATGGCCCTGTGGACAGTTCTGCATGTATTGGGATAGACGGAAATCCCCTAACATGTTAGAAAAGGGTCGCTGGAGCGGGCCAGCTCAGATAGTCATCCCAGAGTCTAGGCCCACAGTATGGATAACCCACTTCAATCGTCTTCTTAGGTGTGCCACCGAAAATATCCGACCAGTGTCTCTCAGGGAATTCCAACAGCCCTCCTTAACCATTCAGACATCATCACAAGATCAACTTCAAGAAATGGCCAATCAATTACAAAGACAACTTGTTGAACGAAGTGGGCTATTCCAATATTCAGACTTGAGTGACATTCCAGTTGAAAATCAGGAAGAACCCAATGAACCAGAAAATCAAGAGAGCGTAGCTCCATCAGAAAACAGACATGAAATCCAACCAGAAGAGGAACCAAACCGGCAGATCTCAGTCAACTTGCAACATGTGAATGACTGCCTTGCGCAAGCTCAAGGTACACCAGTACCTGACACCCCGAGGTCCCACGTCCCTGAGGACGCAGCCGCAGAAACATCAGAACATTCGCCCACCACTGCCAGTTTAGAGACCGATGATGAGGCCAATGACACAGATCACAACATGGAACCCGTGTATAATGTCACCCAACTAGAAAATTAGGAATTTTGGTGATATAACAATAGAAGATGATGGGGTAACATGGGATGAGCCAGAAGAAACTGAACTAGCATGTGCCAGTTTTGCATTCGATGTTCCACAACAGCAGCTGCAGAAGTTTCTGCGTAGGCCCCGAGAGCATCTCCCTTGTCTGACTGTAGCTGCCAAGAAGTCCAAAAACGAGGTAGTCTACAGCGACTTGTCCAAAGCTGAACAGGAGCTGTTCAAACAAGCCAAGCAGAAAGAACTCAAGTGTTGGCTAGACACCAGTACTGTGAAGGCTATAGTCAGAGACAGGAGCTGGATATAACCTGGAAACAGGACTTGAATCAACCTACAAGTCGCAAGGCCAAAGCGAGACTTGTTGTAAAAGGGTTTCAAGATCCCGATATAGATAATCTCTGCTCAGATAGCCCCACTTTGACCCGTGACTCACGTATGCCCTTGCTTCAAACAATTTCGAGTATGAAATGGGTAGTTCAACTTTTTGACATAACAAACGCCTTTTTAAGAGGTCGTTCCGATGAAAGAGAGCTTGCAATGGAAGCACCCAAAGAACTCAAAGAGATGATGGGCATGAAGGATAACCAAGTCTGTTTACTCCAAGGGAATGCATATGGGATGGTGGATGCCCCCCTTTTGTTCTACCGTGAGTTCAGAAAACAACTTGAGAAAATTAGCTTTTGTGCACATCCCTTAGATAACTGCCTATTTTTGCTTAGAACTCCAACCAATCCCGATATCTTGGACGGCATCCTTGGTACCCATGTAGATGATGGGATTGGTGGGGTCTGACAGCACTAGTCCAGTGACCAGTAGTGAACTTCAAAATTTGAGGGGTCTTTGCGGTAGCCTTCAATACGCTGCAGTACATTCCAGGTTTTGCAACTTGGTAAGCTCAGAATAAAAGACGAAAGCCTCACTCTTAAACAAAATGCAAACCGCAAGTTTGGAGTGACATGGGTTCACAATCGAATAATAAAGAGAGGCCAGTGTGAAACCATTGGCGGTGTTCCTTCGATTGTGCCAGTTGGGGAGTGAAGCAGCCATATGATTGCTGTCTTCATGCCATCACATTTGGCTCAGGCCAACCGCAGGTGACTTCAGGGGAAAGTGCAGCCATATGGCGTGGAAGGATTCGTCGGTGTTTCTCAGTTGGAGAGGCTTCAACTGTTAGATACTTTGGTGTGATCATTGGAAGTATTGGTTGACAATCAGGTGAAACAATCATCCTTGAGGCAAGGATAGTTGGCTGACCCTTCCAGGGCAGTCACATATGTATATATAATTATACATATATATATATATATACATATCATATATATATATATACAAAATATCATATCAACTCACATCATATGAAATATACCATATCATATTCAATTCTCCGTTTCCGCAGGACTCTTCTATCAGTGTGCCCAGGCCCCCATGTACAGCACCTCAAAATGGCTGGATTCGTAGCTCTGCCGCCGTCCATCTTTGGCTTCTCGGTTTTTACTACCTTTCAAGCTGCTCCGCCGACTCGGAAACTCCTGCGTCGAAGTACACTGCGTCGAACACCGGATGAATGGCGATAGATTTGAAAAGCGCTGCACTCTCCGGCGCCTTGGAGCTGTTCAAGTCAGACCTCGCCCGGCGCAGCTCATGGCAGCTCCACACGAACATATACGAACCATTGAGTCCACATAGTCAACCATTGAAAAACATTCACAAGTCCTTGAGCATGCACTTGTCCACAAATGTCCGCCATATATGATATGTGTGAATATGTGGTGAAGGTGTTTGTTGTTTAAGTCTGTCTTAGATCTGTCGTCTGTCAAGGGTGCCAGACCTGGCTGCAGAGCTACGCCGTGATTCACTTTCCTTTCGGGGCAAAGAGTTCCTGGGCAAATCGGGATCTTCGGCGGTGATGAGCTTCAGCTTCCTTGAAGCATGTTCAGGAAATATCAGGAAATATGGTCTCCAACACCTGCTGTGAGTGGAAAGCCCTCTTCGAACCAATCAAATCAGAATCTAAGCATTCGGGATCATTCGGGCACTGCTTGATGTGTTGCTAAGACAAGATTCATCTCAAATTCACCGAGTCTGTTTCCATTTGATACAAGTTGTTTCCTATGGAAGCCGGGATGCCAAAAACATTAAATGCGGCTTTCACCTCCTAGAGGGTTTGATTTGGCACTGCCGTCCGTCACTGAGAAGCTGTAAAAAAAAAGTTAAATCGAGGGAATCGATGCTTGTGATTGGAATTGAGTCTACAATTCACGCTCAAAAGATCTCTGTAAGTATAGAAAGTATGCGAAAATTGACATATTTTGAAATCTGTGTAATTTCAATTTTGCTGCCACTATCACTATCTCCATGCTGCATGCGCTGCATCATGCTGCATGCTGTTTTTCCAAGTCTCGTAAGGCTGAGCGAATCCTCTGAAGAGTCCGACCTGGAGAATTGTCACAAGCAACACATTGCACAAGAGGTGCCACCCCCCTCACATATTACATATATATATATATATACATCATCTCACATCATCTCACATCGTCTCACATCGTCTCACATCGTCTCACATCGTCTCACATCGTCTCACATCGTCTCACATCGTCTCACATCATCTCACATCGTCTCACATCATCTCACATCATCTCACATCATCTCACATCATCTCACATCAGCTCACATCGTCTCACATCGTCTCACATCGTCTCACATCGTCTCACATCGTCTCACATCGTCTCACATCGTCTCACATCGTCTCACATCGTCTCACATCGTCTCACATCGTCTCACATCGTCTCACATCGTCTCATCGTCTCACATCGTCTCACATCGTCTCACATCGTCTCGCATCGTCATCGTCTCACATCGTCTCACATCGTCTCACATCGTCTCACATCGTCTCACATCGTCTCACATCGTCTCACATCGTCTCACATCGTCTCACATCGTCTCACATCGTCTCACATCGTCTCACATCGTCTCGCATCGTCTCACATCGTCTCACATCGTCTCACATCGTCTCACATCGTCTCACATCGTCTCGCATCGTCTCACATCGTCTCACATCGTCTCACATCGTCTCACATCGTCTCGCATCGTCTCACATCGTCTCACATCGTCTCACATCGTCTCACATCGTCTCACATCGTCTCACATCGTCTCACATCGTCTCACATCGTCTCACATCGTCTCACATCGTCTCGCATCGTCTCACATCGTCTCACATCGTCTCACATCATCAATCACATCATCAATCACATGTCCGCACTGTTCAGTTCTGGGTAAACTGTGTAACTATGTGAATTGTCTGGATGTGTTTGGATCTGAGGAGTGAAAGGCAAAAGTGCCAAGAATTTATTTTTGGCGTGCAGGATCTTCCACTGTCTGCTGCTCAGGGACAAGGCATCCGTGAGAGGACCTGGCCAAACACGCGAAGCAAAATCTTATCTTTTAGGATGAGAGCTGTTGGAAGTTGGAAAAAAAATGAAAAAAGCAGTCAGACTGAGAGGACTGGAAAGAGAGACTTTCTCAAATCACTGGCAAACTCGTCCGGACAGAAACATCAGAAACAGGGGGTCCTGTAGGATCCAAGATGATCCAAGCAATCGTAAACCCATGAAATCACATGAAAAGAAGTTGTGATCTTCAACCTACAGGCACGCCCTAGCCATACACCTTCGCTCGATCGCCGGCTCTCTCTTAAAGGAGGGCCCGCTCGTGGTGTGCCTAGCAAGTCATGACGTCATATCTGACAAACTTCAACGCAACACAACCATCGCACTTCGCGGCGGATTCATAGGACATTGACATTGAGGATTCATCAGGGGATTCCTTGCCAAAGGGAGTTTTCAGACTATGCGAGATAGTCTGGGGTCGGCTCTAGCTTGGCTTGGGACAGTACAAATCCAGTGGCAATCTACCAAACGATGTCAGACCATCTCAACGACATTGCAGGTTTGTGGCCTTCACGTGAATCAACGTCAGGGTGGGTCTCTTCGTCCGGTTTGACCTCGAAGCAAGATCAGGATTGATTGATATACACGCACATGATGCATACACGAATTCCCTTCTTATCTCACGATTCGTGTACGAAGGCAAAGGTAGAACAAATGTTGTATCCACAGGGCAGGGATAAATCTATACTTTTAGTGATCCGAACCACTTTTTGTTTGGTGCTTCTACTTGGCATCCTTTCCCGTGCATTGCCATTCACCCCAGATGTCAAACGCAGTGCTTGCATCTGTGGACGCATTTAGGCAAACAAAAGTTGGAGCAACCAGTAGGGGAGACACCTTGTATCCTAAGATATCCTAATTAGTGTTGTGCCCAGATTCTGTACTCTCAACTTGCTGAGGCTGAGACATGAATCCCTTGGCTGTCCATGGATGAATCATGGCAGGGAGTATTCCATTCAAAATTGGCACAAATGAAATCAAGAAGCTGAAGCCAACCAATTTCGCCAAGATGCCAACTGAGCCTTCAAGAATCCTTGCCAGATGCAAGATGACAAAACCCAATCCCTGCTGATTTTGGACTTCTGCGTCTACTGTACTGGCAGGGGTTTTCAGCTTAGATCTTGAGAACATTCTATGCGCAAGACCGCACTAAAGCATGGTGCACTGAGTAGTGCACGAAAGATGTGTGTGCAAAACATGTGCAACCTTCATAGGCATCGGCCGTCCTACGAATTGCACTTGAGATTTCTAAATCTTTAGGACTTTAAGATTCTTTAGGCAATGCTGAAGGCCTCCATAGCACCACCAGTTTCAATTCTTGACTTTGCAAAAGGCCGTCTCATGCAAATTGCCAATTCCAAGTGGCACATAGCAACTGCCAGGTGGATCTCCCTGCCGGAACAGCACCGTATCTTGCTCACATTTCAAGCCTCACACGATTCCAAGGAAGCAAACGCCAGGTTTTCTTATGCAAAAAGAAAATCCGGGTGAACCAGTCGTGGCCCAGTCTTGATTCGTGTCCTTCAATCAGGGAGCTAGGGCGCGACGGAACATCATCACGTAACATGACTGACGTGCTTACGCTTTCCACGCGGGAGCGTTTCAGAGCTCAAAGAAGCTTTCTTTACTTGTTCTGATTACACAATATATTTATATATCTGGATCCAAACAATCTATGAATTTGTCGGGCCAAGCCCAAGCTCACCAAAACATCTTAGAGCATAATAGAACAACCCCAATGCGGACTTTCATACTTGCTCACTCAGTTTATAATCACCTACATCGTGCCCAGGAACACTGAACGATTCCAGAGAGCCGCCGCTGTACTGATGTCCCCAACTTCTTAAAAAATGGGCACTGCAAAATAACCTCCTTAGTTTGCGAAAATTGCAGTCTGTTTGATTGTCTGAGCAACACAGCATGCTTCTGGTCACACACAGGTGACCCAGGATTCGAGGATTGCATTGACTGGAATATGAAACTCTCAGGAACGCAAAAATGATGAAATACCGTACAAATCTTACAACTTGAAGCTTAAGAAGCAGGGTCCTGGTTAGTGGGTTGTGAAACTTGATCCAAATGATGCAGGAGCTTGCAATATGATGAGGTATGACGAGCATCTGCAGCATATATCATGATTTCAATGATCTGAATGATATGCTTCCAGGATTCAAGTTGCTCCTTCTCCTGCAGTGCTGAAGGAGCCGTCATCCACGCACTGGGCGATGGAGGGACCATTTGTGGTGGTGGCGGCATCGAGAAAGAACCTCTGACGCAGGTTCAACGGATCTTGCTGTCCAAACCAAGATGGTGTGATTTGTAGAGTGGAGGATAAACTGGACTATGTCATCGCATAAGCTTTCAAAGTCACAATCTGAGGCTTCAAACAACTTGCTTTGGCCACCGCTTCCGTTTATGATCGAATATACCTACACATAATAATGCATGCTGCATTATACAGTGCGTGTGTGTGTGTGTGACATTCTAATTACAAGATATCACTACTTCATACACTGCGGCATATATCTTGATACTATGTCCAATCAGTCTTTCATGAAAACTTTCATGTCATGATTTGTCATGCGGGTATGTCAGGGTATGTGCTCATTTTTTCAGACAGCTTTGAGGGAGTCGAGATGAGTCGAGCAACCGGAAGGAGACTGTGGCATCGAGGCTGGTGGTGTCGAAGCCTGGAAAGAGCAGTGGGAGCCCGTGGGACTTGGCGGCTTCGGAGTCAGCAACGAGAAGCTGCCGGAGCCACGGGGCGGCTCAGCCGAGTTTCTGGGACCGGACCCGGACCCAGGTGGTTTGAAGATCGTCCCAGGTAACGTGGGCATGGCGATGCGGCGATGCGGTCTGCGAAGGTCCGCTGAGACTTGTCTCCTGCTCTCGTGTCACGTTGTCTCTCCATAGCCCTGTCCATGCTTTGCATCAGGAATGGTTTGCACCCCAGAAAGATATTCTGATGTCACTGAATTTCTGTAATGTTCTGCCTTGACGAAGATTTATCGTTCTGTGACTAGTTTCACTCTTTGTCTTATCCTCTTGCTGACAATTCCAGAAGCGCCTATGGCGTCTCCTGCAAGTTTGCAAACGAACCCAAATTGCAGCGGTGGTGACCAAAGTTTGTCGGTTCTCCTGCTTTTTAAGATCTCCACTCCAAAAAGACTCCTTCTCTTTCCGAGAGTCAAAGGACAACTTGTTGCTTGTTTCAACCCATTCCAGAAAGGATAAGTATTAATCAATATTTAAATGCAATTTGGAATGTTTAAATCTATTTCGAAAATATGTGTTAAATCAGATAAATCCTTCGAAAAAAGGAGGGTTGAGACATGTTGAGACTCTTGAGACCCGAAAATCTGGTTTCTGCATTGAGGCTAAGCAGCTGGGCCTTGTCTGCCCAATTCGATGTGCTCGGTCGGATGCCTGAAGGTCTGCCTGCATGACCCCAATTTCCCCAATGTCAAAAGTCCACAGTCTTTATGTCATTTTAACACAGATTTTATATCATGTTATTTCATTTCATATCTATTATTATCTATGGATCTTCATTCGGTACCAATATCTGTTCCATGTGTCTGTCTAGAGCAGTACATGTCTATAGATGATCGGCGAGTTCAAAAGATCTGACAGTTACAACATCTGTGCCTGTGGATTCCAGTCGCTGTCAAAGAGGATGACGGTGTCAGCCTCGTGGAAAAAAGAAAGAGCCGAAAGGATCCTGAAGGTATCTGAGTATCTGAGCCTGCAGGAGGTGAACCCCTCTTTGGCAGCTGGATTGTCAGTTCAGAGTCAGCTGTTGTCAACTGTTGTCAAATGTTGACAACTTGGATTTACAGAAAACACATCTTCTGGCATTTCAATCTGAAGCGGCGCTTGAAAGACTGCTGCTAAGAATTTGCTGAAAAGCAGACAGCTGCCGCCCCAGTAAGGCAGAGTTTCAGCAACGACCAAAGTTGATCATATTCTGGCCCTTCAAGAAAGATCAAAAAGAGCCTCTTAGACAAACTTCACACCCAAGTCCTGTAGAGTCAGCGGTTCTTGGCAGCCAAGGCTGTGGCAACTTGGAGGTTGAGTCCCAATCCACCGGCACGAGTGGTCAGCCTCAAGCTTGACCCATTTCTCCAAACTCTAAAATCTTGTTCGGTCAACGTGATCACAAAGGACATGCTGGAAGAGTCTTAACTTCACATTGACAATCATTGAATCATTTGCAGTGACTTCCTAGCGGCGTTTTACACGCCAGGGAGGGCTATTGTGATCAGAAGATGGGGTTGCCTGCACAACTTGAGGCCGGGGGTGGATGACGAAAGCTAGCGGGGTAGGAGAAAGAAGGAAGGGAAGAGGTGAGTTGCGGAGGGACTGTCATCATCGTGTCGCGGCATTGTTCGTCCAAACGAGGATGCAACAATGATATATGATATATGATATATAACAATGATATATATGGGGGAGGGGGCAGGGGGGGGCCCTTTCGCGTGAAAAAGCACGTGATGTCCTTGGGGAGCCCCGGAATACTTGCTAAAGCAAGAAGACTCTAGCGAGCTGACGCTAGCTTTCGTGATAATGCCAATAATTGCCAATAATGATAAAATGTAATTGATTAACGATGATGTGATGATGATGATGATGATGACGATGACGATGACGAGGACGATGACGATGACGATGATGATGACGGTGATGATGTGTGGTGATGATGATGATGATGACATGACGAGGAACATGGCGAGGACGATGACGATGACGATGACGATGATGATGATGATGATGATGATGATGATGATGATGATGACGATGACGATGATGATGATGATGATGATGATGACGATGACGAGGAAAATGGCGAGGACGATGACGATGACGATGATGATGATGATGATGATGATGATGATGACGATGACGATGACGATGACGATGATGATGATGATGATGATGATGATGATGATGACGATGACGATGACGAGGACGAGGACGATGACGAGGACAAGGACGAGGACGAGGACGAGGAGATGATGATGATGATGATGATGATGATGATGATGACGATGACGAGGACGATGGCGAGGACGATGACAATGATGATGATGATGATGATGATGATGATGATGATGATGATGATGATGATGATGATGACGATGATGATGATGGTGGTGATGATGATGATGACGATGACGAGGACGATGGCGAGGACGATGACGATGACGATGATGATGATGATGATGATGATGACGATGATGATGACGATGATGATGATGATGATGATGATGATGACGATGACGATGACGATGGCGAGGACGATGATGATGATGATGATGATGATGATGATGATGGTGGTGGTGGTGGTGGTGGTGGGGGTCCCCCCCTTTCGCGTGAAAAATCACGTGATGTCCTTGAGCAGCCCCCGGAATACTTGCTAAAGCAAGAAGACTCCAGCTAGCTGACGCTAGCTTTCGTGAATAGGAAGAAACATCAAACCATTGAAGCGGTCTGCACCAATCTGCACCGATCTGCACCCAAGGATTTCAGCTAAGTTCCTAGCAGCATCACTGGCACTGCTTCTTGTGTGAAGGCCGCAATGGCAAGGGACCTCTGCCTGACTGGCAGCATCCGCATCATGTGCTTCGATGTTTCGATGTTCTTTGATGTTCTTCGATGTTCTTCGATGTTCTTCGATGTTCTTCGATGTTCTTCGATGTTCTTCGAGGATTGAAATTGAAAGCTCAACAAAGGAAATGGAATGCCTTGTGAAACAGATGTTCCTTTCAGTGTGTGTGAAAACAACAAAGTTTTGGTTCGCATTCTGGTTCTGCCCAAGTGCTAGACTGAACGCTTGCTGAACTTTGCTGTCGCATTCATTAATGATTAGCAAGCACGTGAATGCATCAGAATGTCTTTTTCAACCAGTGATCCTAGGAACATTTTCTTGATACTTCTGGGTTGGCTGGATGTTGGTTTTTCAAAGTGTTTTTCTTATTTTCATATATGTTCATAGCCAAGACAATCCAAAACACTTGAGAATCTGATGGCCGCCTCAATGACTTGGATCCATCGATGCGTGTGAATATGAGGCCTCCCGAGCTCCAAGTTAGCACACCAAATCGGGAGAAGATTCCGAGACAAAAACATGGCAAAACATGAGAAAACATGAGAAAACATGACACGGCTGCAAAAATGAAATCAAAGAGATGTTCCCGTGCAACTGACACCCATCAATTGGAACGCCCTTGCACTTGCACCATCTGCATTTGGAATCATTTAGACACCTTGAGACACCTTGCCTATCTAGAGCACTACAACTTGCCTAAACGCTGAAGCAGCTTCTCCAAAAGATCCAAGGAACTCGTCATCTGCGCAAAGATCTTAGCGACTGGCTGAATAAGGCTTACCCAAGAAACTGGAAATTTGAAGCCTATTGGAAAGCGGCTTTGATCACGACCAAAGCGGTGCATTTAAATTCCTGTTGGGCAATTGAAAACAAGCCACCCTTGATTAGCACGTCACATGTTTTGCACACGCAAGTAGAACGGCGGATTCCAGTCCGCGTTGTATGCGAGCATGGTTCTCGGCCTTCTTCAACTGTCAGAATTAGGCAATTCAGTGAAAATATACAGTATATGATTGTATCCAAATATGTCAAAATGAAATCATCTTATTAGATTCTTATTAGGTTGGGTTTGCATGGTTTGCATGCCCGGTTTAGCCGCTGCTCAGGATCCAGCCAAAATCTTATGATCAAACTTTACCAGCCTGGCACACACACAACTAGCCATTCAGTCAGTGTGGGGCAGGAGGATGTGTCCTTCTATGTCCTTCTATGTCCTTCTAGTTATATACTATGTGGAACACATCATTAGTATTCATTAGTCTCAATCTTGTGGGCTGGGAGGTAGTATATACTTATATAATTACATCATTATACATCAATTTTTGGAAGGCGTCTTGACGCAGATCAGAATTCAGTGTTGCATCCAACATTACAACCAACAGCGATTCAAAACCTGGCCGACCTCAGTTTCTTTCTACATTTTGCCATATGTATCAGAAGCCTTGGGAGGATGCGATCGAGAAATTCGAACTTGCCGGAGGCCTCAGATCAAAGACAACGATATTCAGTTTGAAATATATAGGATAATATAGTCTATTGATAGCATTATAATTTTTCCTCAGGATAGAGCGCAGAGAGAATCTTCGACGAATGGCATAACAAAGGCTTGAAAGGAAAGGAAGATGCAAGGAAAGCTTGCGTGAAAGGTTCTGCCCTCAGACAATAGAGACCATGCAGCATGCAGCATATAAAAGACCGGGCCTTCAGTCACAAAAACCATCATTACAAATTACAAATCACCGTCTCTGTCCGTTTCTGCTTTGAGTAATCTTCAGAAGCTGAAGACATAATTTGGGCTTTGGATAGCTTTGACTTAAACCACACATCTCCCCATTGCAATGTTCAGCTTGGATCTTGGCAGTGATGACTTCCTGGCAATGTGAAGCATTGGCAGCATGGATCACACAAGAGACCGAGACCATAGCAGACCTGTGATCCATCTTGTGCCATGGGAGATAGCTTTGAACTCTCCGAATATCTCCAGATACACAACTGGTCGAGATCACAATATCGAAGCACGCACCCGCAGAGAATCTTTGCTGTATCAATACATATTATGACATACTACATACATCTACAATCATCTACATACGATCTTGCTCTGTGACGCTTCGGCGCATCTGCATCTTCTCCATCTAGCAACGCAAGCTAAAGCAGCTAAATTCGCACCAGATCGAACAAGACTCCACTTTTGCTGGCCACTTGGCAGACATTGCAGCGTTGCATGTGCCAGTTTAGGCAAGGCCTGGCAAGGCCTTAAGCGAGGGCCATAAGAAAAAGCTGCAAACGGTGTGCATTCAAAGGAATCATCTCACCTTGCTCGCCAAGCATTGCGACATAGGCTGGGCGATCTCGGGTACCATATTTGCCCGGATGTTCGTTCTTGACGCATTGAAATTTCACCATGGGAGGATTGTACTGTCGGTCGTACTTGGTCTTTAAGGTCAAAGTTGCGATGGTCCTTGGATTGTTCCAATGACTTGCACAGCGCAGTAGGTTTGGGTTCGCTGTGGCGTGTTGTTGTGTAATGTTGTGTACCACGGGTTCAAACAACGAGAGGGACGAACCGAAAGATTGCCTTATTGACCTTATTGAGAATGCTTTCTGATTCAATGCTTTCAATGTTTTCCCTTTGAACTGCACTCAACTTTTGGCCATGTCATGAACTCTGCTTGCGAGGCGCTTCTTGCCAGTCAACCAATACCAAATCGACTTCGGCGTCCAACGCTTGCTGCCTGCTATGAACCAAAAGTATCCAAAAGTGAGAGACCACAAACAGCAACCCCATATATTTCGGACCAAACACTATGATGGGTAAAATTCTTCTGGCCAATCCACTTCTCTGATTTCCCTGCAAATCAGTTGATTCCTTTTCCTTTTTCTTCAGTTCCCAATCTGCTGCATAGTCTCTTGAAATTTCGTTGATCTTGCCGCTGCGGAGGATGGTATCAATGGCATTGTCCAAGTTCACACGAGATGGATTCGCAGCCAAAGAAGAAACGATGGAAGTCCTCAAAGGTGACTTTTTCAACTCAGAATCAAAAACATCAACACTGCCACTTCAATGCTGGGTCGAGAAAATGTGTGACACCTACAACACCTCTTGAAATGTCAGAGTTACATTGCAAACAAACGGTGTTTGACGAGGTGCACAGCAGTTGTTTTGATCATGTCAGCAATTCTGACCGCCAAGGTTGCAACGCCTCGCACAAGTTTTTCAATCTGAACAAGAACTTCGAGGCTGAGCTGGGAAGGTGCAATTAGAAAATAGGATAAATGTATATAAGACTATATAATTGTGGATAAATGTGGATAAACATAGAACAATATGGAACAATTAGGCAATCAATCTGAAGTGCAACTCTGGTATTTGTCGATAGACAATGTGCCAGACTGTGACGATACACGCGATGCTGCCCATTGAAGAGAAGGTCGAAGTCATCAACAATCAGGGTGTAGCACGGTGTAGCACAAAAGAGACAAATATTTTTTATGATGATAATCAATGATAGCAATTCCCCGTCAAGGGGGTAATCTCTTACAATAATTTCAGCAAAGAATAGGCGAAAAATGATGAATAATGCACTTACACGAGTTAATTACATGGCAAGACAACAGGTCATGTCGAGCAATCCAATCCACGGGTCTCAAAAAGGCCCCGTGCGATTGTGTTGCATGGTTGCAAAAGTAAAATCAAATCAAACGCAACAGCATTACATTTGTGTAATGCAGTGTGTACAACTCTCCGCAAAAAAAATGCCTCTGTCGTTGTCAATCTGGCCACCAAGAAGGGAATAAAGATAATTCCAGAAGTGAGAGAGAGCTGCGATACTTAAGGACTACAGGGAAACGGTATGACTCCTGCCTCCGATCTGTGCATATCCCCCCACGAAGGCTTTCAAGAACAAATCAGTAGCCTATCGAGAAAGGATTGCAATTGCTTGATTGGTTCGCGGCAAAAAAAACGCTAGTGCCGCTAGGGACCGCTAGTGAAGTATTCATTGCATTCATTGCATTCATTGTATTCATTGCATTCACTGGATTCACTGCATTCACTGCATTTAGATTCAAGAAACCTGCCAGGAAATTGTAATCCAAACCACACTGTCGCTAGCTCAGGAAGCGAGCTAGTTTACAGGTCCGCCATTTCAGGGTGGGAAACAACAATTTCAAGATCTGCACGCACCTTGTCCCCAGGGTGAGTCACAACCAATGAGACAGGTTGTCCAATCCACATGCTCTCGCACTCCACTGGCAAGTGTGGCCTGCGTTCAGAATTCTAGTAGACCCAGGCCCACAGAATCTGAGTTTGTCCATAGACAACACGAAAGCAAGAATCAAAAGAATCAAAAGAATCAAAAGAATCAATTCAAGAAAGTGTTTCCGTCAAAAAGCATTGTACTTGACAGCATGTGCCTTTCTTGGAGCGCTTTGACCATGTGCACAAGATCGCCTTAATATTGGGAAAGCCAAACGTCACTGAGCTGCTGATGGTGGACGCTAAAAGCTGCTGCTCTCCGCGTTGGATGCACCCGGGGGCAGGACGCTGGGTTCAACTGGCACAATGGAAAAGCATGCGCAGAATCAAGGCATGAATCAGTATGAACAATTGAACTACACAAGGAAGATCCACTCCATGCAGAGCCAAAATATGTATGTGTCCGTTCATACCTTGAGGTGGATTTACTTAAATGGAGATGTAGTATGGTTCCAGGCTTCTCTAGATCTGCGTAATCTGCCCCTTCTTGTACGACTGGCAACTCCGCAATATATCACTTGATAGTGTTCACGTCCACAAGGTAGAACGTTTCTCTACCTATCGTGCTGAAATTTCTACAAAACGACACTTAGTGTCCTCCATACCTGTAACAAACAGCATTTGCCAGCGCCAAACTTCAGGAGTGAAGCACTCTATAGAAAAGTCTCTATGCAAGTCAAGTAACCGGAGATCCTTGCGTCAGGGTGCACGGGTCTGTTTTCTGTATGTCAGGATGGGCATAGTTGTTGTCTGTTTTGGAATTGTCTTGCAAACAAAAGGCAGCAAGAGACTCTTGGAGGAAGCTCAAAACTGAGCCCTAGAGCTCAGTGCCCTCATTGATCCTATCTGGTACTGCTGCGCAAAAATGATCAGAGGGTCACGGTCGCAGTACTGCTGTTGGCTTTCCGAGAGTATTTAATTGTCATTTATGATATTTATGGGGTCCCAAATGGTCCCAATATGTTCATCACGCAGGCCTGGAACATTAGCCAACTCGATGCAGTCTACCGCACTTCGACCAAGTCTCGTGAAATCGGATGACGAAGTGAGAGGAATCGCCTCAACAGATTGATCACAAGGACAAGTGATTCGATTGAGTGCATTGTGGATAGGTGCTCAAGGCTTCAAAGGCTTCAAAGGCTTCAAGGTTCTGCATGTTCTGCTGATGCGGATTTGGCATTTCTTGGAGGCGCTCTCTTTGTAGAGTCAATGGGAGGGGGTCACAGGGATCTGATACAATCTCTATCTGCTCAGATCCCAAGAGCTCAAAGTTGTTCCAACTACATGGACAAAACATGAGAAAATAGCTTCAATATGTGTCAATCAACATGGTTACCTATGGTTACTTACACATCTGAAGGCCTCTTTCCAGCGCACAGGTCCAGCAACTACTATAACTACTATACAAGAAATCCTCTCCTGCAGCTTATCAGCTTATCCCATCTGCAACATCTGGCCCCCTCCCATGCAAATCATGACACCTTCCACACCGTAAGGAATGCCTTAGAACACCAGCGCAAAGGAGATTGGAAATTGGTTGGAGATATGTGAAGCAATTTTGAAGCCATCATTGTCGGTTCTACACTTCAGACTTTTCGATCACCGACAAGAGAACAGGGATCCGACGACAAAAATGAGTTCCTTTATCGTTCTTTTCGTCAAGGCACATTCGTCAGGTCCAGTGTTTGAGAATCTGCCCAGCCCTGGGTGATCTGCACGCCACTGCCTTCCTCTTCGGTGTCGCTTGCCACTTCAGCCTTCATGTTTGCAGTCTGTCGCCTCAAATCGTGACAAAGGATAAACCGATCCAAGAAGGCTGAATGAAACTGTGATCATCTACAGTAGATGCACGGCGAAACAAACCATGCATGATGTGTTAACTTGGAGTTAAAGTAAAAATAGACTCTGGAGACACAGGATGACACAGGCTTCTAAAGTCAAACAAGATGGATGGGGCTGTTGCTTGCCCAGCTTGCGATCCCTGGAGTGGAGGCCAAGTCACACGGCATGCGCAAATGGCATCAGAAGAACAGCAGCTGCCAGAACCTGTACACAACTTTCCCACATTTGACCTCCCCTTCTAGTCACACATCTAGGGGTCTCCGAGTATATTGACGAGAGGTTTCAAGGTGTTTCAGCTTCTGCTAGCAGTGCCCAACAAAAGCAGATTCTGCCTGCAAGCGCGCCATGATCAAGGCTGATGAAATCTTTTCAGACCACAAAGACTTGAGTTTTGAGCACGAAACTGCAGAACAAAGCCGCAACATGGCAAACCTAGCACGATCTTATGCTGAGTTACGCTATATAGTCGATTTGAGTGTTCCTTCTGCAAAGGTTTCAAGAGAGATGAAAGACCGTCACAGGCGTGAATCCCGCAAACTTCACGTAGACATACTTAAACTCAGATTTCTGCATCACAATCTGTGTTTGGAAGAATATAATAGGTACTTTAGGGCACAAAGTCTGTGGGCACACATGTGAATGTCAAAATTTCTCGTCGGTTATGAAGTGTGTATTGAACACTTGAAACGACGGATTGACAAAGCGATTTGAAGTTGCTCCTTTGTCGAAGCTCGTTGTGCACGTTCCTGGCTGAAAATGTACGGGCACATGAGGTGCCTCCGCTTTCTCAGCTCTTGATCTTGTGCCAGGGGGGTTGGACCGAAAAAAATGCAGTAAAATCAAGGACCTCAACCTGGAAGGGGACCACCCCCACCTAACCCCTTAAAACATCAGACAGTTCCCAAAATAGAATCAAAGATTGCCAACAATCAAATGGACAGGTCCCAAGGCTATCTCCCAATTTTCCCTGTTTTCATACCCTTACTCCCCATCCATTATCTCATCGCACATTCTTTTTTTGCATTGATCATATTGCGATCCCTATAAAAACTGAGTGCGTGGTTCAAGTTAGCTGGGAGGGGGTTGTTTCAAACAAGTCCATGATGGCTTTGGGGTTTTGCAGTCAGTTGACTTTTGCTTGGGATGGGGAAAATGGTTTTAAGGTTTTGATTTGCAGGTGTTTGATTTCCTGACCCATGCCCGACCACCGATTTAAAGGAAAAGAATTGAACCTGAACATATATGTTGTACAGAAATGTGTGTATATATATATATATATGTATGTTGTCTAAAGATAGCGCGATGTTGGGAGCGGGATATTTATAACCAGCAGGATGTTGGGAGCCGTAGCGGCTGTGGCGATGGAGTAAAACCGGGTTCTGCATCTGAGACTTGGGACATCTGTGATATCCTTGAAATTTCGATGTTTCTGGTTTAGATGGTATAGAGAGAGAGAGAGAGATAAGATGTATTAGTTTTACACAAACATATGCAAACTTGTATATAGTGAAGGTATATATGCCTTTTTCGAAAATATTCGACTGCGTTTTTGCAGGTGCCAAACCGTTTGACTAGAGCCTGGTTGTTTTGCCTGTTTTGCCCCCAGCAAACCCATGATTGTAGATATTGCTGCATTCTTGGCTGTCAACAAATCCTTACTTGGGAGGACGACAGTCGATCGAGGCTTGGATTTGTTTACATTTGGTTGTCTAAGTCTATGGCCCCAACATGTACTGTAAATGGGAGTTTTTGGGGGTTGCTTGAAACCTATGTTTTTGTCGTTGGTTAAGGGCATCGCACGCCAGACTCTCTCTGTTACTGTTCAAACTTATACTATAAATATATACACGTTATTTCCTCAAAGTTTTGCAACTGAAACAGGCAAACAAAATTGCAGGGTCTCAACCTATTGCTCATCGAACAGCAGAACATGTTGAAATCCTGATCATCACAACCCCCCAAAGAAAATAAAATCTATGGGGTTCAACGCACCGTGTTCCAATTTGTTTTTCAAACATATTTCAGGCTCAAGCCTCATGATTTTATTTTGGAGCACCCCAAGGGGATGCTCTTGCGCATCTCCTATTCTAGACACATCGAAATGCCCTACGACCATGTCAACTTTTCGTAGATTCCCATCAAACAGATGCAATGGCAATGCGCATGACACAGTATCGCAGTATTCAGGCTGTCAGTTTGTGCTACTGAAACTGCTTCATCACACACCCACAACCAAAAACAAGAGAACGAGGATGTGGGTACGCGTACTACAGGCATGCGAACTTGAAACTCCAAGCCGTTGCGATAAAAAGCCAATAAAATAATTTTGGCTCATCTGAAAAGTGCGGATCTGTGCTGGAGAAAATAGAAGCGAAGTCTGCAGTCCTTCTTACTGAGGTAGTGATACGGGTGGTTCCTCGGAGCAAATATTGCAAAAAAAATGAGTTGAAACATGTTGAAACTGCAATGAAACTGCCAAGGACAGCACTTGCCAAAACAAAAGTTTCGACGAAAACAAGGAGCTTCATCTCTAGGCTCTGTCTCTGTCTCTAGGATCTGTCTCTTATAGGATTCATAGGGAGAGTTGCAACATCTGAGCCTCCCGCACTGCCTTACGAAGCACCAAGCAGGACGAAACCTGGATTTTTTTTTGGCCCACTGCCTCTTTTAGGCTCATGTTCAACATGTGTTGAACTTGTTTTTTACATGTTTTTGAATTATTTTAAAATTATTTGTCAACATATTCACCCCGCTTCGCGTGGGGTGGCCGCCCACACCGCAGGTTTATTTCGGTCCGTGAGAGGGGCTAAGGGTGGTTTTCCCCCGTGGGGGCTCTTCAAGCTAAGAAGTTTCAATAAGAAATCCTTCCAAAACATTGTTTTTGACAGTGTTTTTCCAATGTTTCCAGTCAAACAGACGGTAATTTACACGTTTTTTGCCATAAAGGCAGTAAATCCTTCCAAAACAGTGCTTTTGACAGTGTTTTTGTAATGTTTCCAGTCAAGCATACGGTAATTTACACGTTTTTTGCTATAACGTCAGTCCAAAACACTTGTTTTTGCAGTGTTTTCAATGCTCTGGCATCCAAAAACCCTGCAAAATCTTGCTATGTACAATGTTTTTTTCATTTTTGGCCGTTTTTCCATTGCCGGAAAGCTACCAAAATGACCCAAAATTCCATTTCAATACCCTCTTGCGCTCAGACACCCAAAAATCCTCGAAAAATGTCGAAAACACCACCGTATTCTGGTCTCGGTGCGAAACCGTTTTTGGGCCCCCCCCCCCAGCTAAAGCTGATATAGCGACTGCTATATTAACAAATGTCATTGAGCATTTAGTGTTGCTGTTGCCCCCCAATAAGCACGCCTTCACCGCCAAAGCGGTGTGGGCGGATTTTGACATATTTTGACATATTTTGATGCTTGTCTCGATTCAAAACGATTCAGCATCACAAATCAATCGCAATTGTTCTGCATGCTGCCATTCAAGCACGAGCTTTTTTATGCGCAGCACCAGGTTCCCATCGAAGGACTCCAGGTGACCAACTACTGAGTTTCTG